GGTGGATGTTGGAAAACCCAGTGGGAAGGCATGTGCCTTGTCCTAAAGCAATGGTCCTGGAGCTGCTTTGAGGAATTGTGGTCCTCTGTCTGTAGAGAGCAGGATGAATTCACCTATCCCAACAGAAAATGGGGCTTTCTTGGATGTCTCTTCCTAGAAGATTTAAAAAGGAATTATGGGGCTGAATTCCTGCTTTTTAGGGTGTTGCTTCATCCACCAGGCATTTTCAGTTTTATTTCTGGCATGTAGTGACTCCTTCAGGGATCAAAACCACACACAGACCTGGACCAGGCCTGCTTGCTTCAGTTTGAAAAAGGGGGTGTTCATTGACTATTTCAATTTGGACAGATTTCTGAAATTGTGCCACAAACCAAGACTTTGAGAAAACTTGTTCCTGTCATTGAAGGGTCTCCAGAGTAACTCAGGGAGGTCAAAGAAGTTTTGAGTTCAGGGGAAGTGAGATTTTCCTTTGGGGGAACAAGGGAAAGGGGGAACAAGAATGGCTTTGGCTTCTTTACACCAGCCTCTCATTTGTGATGTCCTTTCCTACATCTGAAGGGCTCCCCTGAAAAATTGTGAGGCTGTGTCTCTGTGCCGTTTATTAAACACTCCTTTACACTGGATTGTGGATATCAACACAAAGAGCAGCTGCCCTCCAGACCTGCCTGGAATTGTTCCAGTCCAGGCTGGACCAGGCTTGGAGCAGCCTGATATCGTGGAAGGTGTCCCTGCCCATGGTAGGGAGTGGAACAAGATGGGCTTTAAGGTCCCTTCCGACCCAAACCATTCCATGATTTAACACCACCTGGAAGCTGGTTTCTAGCTGTTGTGCTGCAGGTTTATCAGTGGAGGAGAGGTCGTGACACAGATTTGAGTCTAAGTGTTTGGAAGCGTGACGGATACAGTGCTGTTGTTTTTTACTTAGCTAACTGTGCTGCAAGTAATTTCCTTTCAAGCCTGTGTCTTTCATTAAATAGCTGTTCCTGTGTCTCCAACTGTATTGTAGTGAAATCAATCCTGGAATTGGGCTGATTCACCATTAGGGAAATATCTTCATGCAGCTCTGTTCAAATGGAAGTAACTTTGAGGAGCAATCTTGCTGAGTGGGTGGAAAGGTAGGAAGGAATCATTATAAAAAAGTTTGAATCATGGCAGGAAGTCATCCTGGTGTTCTGAGCAGCCTTTAAATATTAATGTGACTGACAGTCTGGTCTTCATTCTTCTGCTGCTTCCCCTCCAAAGCCGAGTTCTCTGCTGGTCCTCAAAGGCCATATTTGGTGCCATATTTACTACTTACACTTTTAGTAGGTGGTGATGATGGTGTAAGATCTTTGTGTGATCCCGTGTGCCGGCAGCTGGGCTCTGCTCCTCGGCTTGGCCGTGATAAAGAGCTTCTCAGAGGCGTGGTTCACTTACCTATTGCTGCTCTGAATTCCTGCTTGCAGGAGGCTCTCAGCTGAGAGAGGATGGTTAGTGTTTGCAGACTGTCAGCGTGACCTTTCCATCCTTCTCCCCAGGGAGACCTGATCCAGATGGGGAGCGGGGGAAGGACGGAGGCGTAGGAGCTCGTAACTGTTAACGTCTTCCTTTGTGAGCCAGAAGATGTGTGGTGGGATTTGTGCTTAATTTGCCTGAGGATAATGGGGTTGCTTGTCCCATCTGAGATGTGCTGAGCAAGGTATAAACTGGGCAGGGGTTGTGCTCTTGCTGGAGATTTTTTTGTTTCCATTTCTGAGGTTGTAGGTAGTTCTCTGTCATAAATTATTCAGTCTTGATTGAAATAATGACTTCGGTCTCCAGGGGGAAAAAATTCTTCTCTGGCTTTGGTGGGTTCGAGTGTGTTTTCCAAAGTGTTACTGGGTTTTTACTCATAGAATTCCTGTGTCCTGCTCATCTTTCTTAGTGATCCAACCCTAGGAACACTCCAGCACCGTGGAATCATTTAGATGGGAAAATCCCTGTGAGATCACTGAGTCCAGCCATTCTCCCAGCACTGCCAAACCCATCACTAAGCCATGTTCCCAAGTGCCAGACCCATATGTTATATTATATGGAAGATAATGGCTGTAACTGGAAATGAAACATTTGGCTGGAATGTTCTGTGGCTACTTCTCTTGCTATAGCAGACATAGACCAAATAGACAGATAGACCAAAACTTCCCATGCTTCAGTTTTATTTTTCCAAAATTGTATCAGGAAGACCTGTGTGAGTAAATCCACCTGCCACTGGAAGACATTCTCACGTTTGGTTTGAGTTCAGCAGTAAAACTCCGTAGTTTCACTGATGGTTCTTTTTCATGTTGTTTGTTTTGAAGTCTCTCCTCCCAGGACAGCCAGGGGTGGAGTCCAGGCAGAGTGATTTTCTGATATCTGATAGAGCCTCATCACTGCTCCTGCTGACTGGTTTCACAGGGCAAGCACAGCTCTGCTGTGTCTGTGCCAAGCGTGGCAGCTGAGAGCATGTGGGGATGTCTGTGATGAAAAACCAGTTCAGCCAGTTCACCGGTAACGGATGCTTCCTGCTTATCCATATTCAGTTCTGAGTATTAAATCTGGAATTAATTTGAGGGACAAGTAAAGCTTGGTAATGCTAAATAATTTCTGGTACATGAACATCTCCAGCTCTTTTGTCTAGGCCAGAGGTACAAATGGAGTTTCACACATTGTTTGGGAGCGCGTTGGGAGCTTGCCACTCTGGTTTATGGCCAAACTGGTGGTGTGGCTGACACATGGAGGTTCTCAGGTGACCTGGTGATTGTCAGACCTCCTGGATATGCTGCAGACATGCTGTGTGACATTTTCTGTAGGGATCCACAGCTGTCCCAAGTGACAAGGAGAATTCCAATTCCTAAAGGGGACAGACATAAAGGAAGGCTGAGGAGGGACTTGTTACAAGAACAAGAAGTGATAGGACAAGGGGGCTTTAAGCTGAAAGGATGTATTTAGATTGGATATTAGGGAGAAATTCTTCCCTATGAGGGTGAGCAGGCCCTGGCACAGAGTGCCCAGAGCAGCTGTGGCTGCCCCTGGATCCCTGGAAGAGTCCAAAGCCAGGTTGGACGGGGCTTGGGGCACCCTGGACTAGTGGGAGGTGTCCCTGCCCATGACAGAGGATGAAATTAAATGAGATGGGCTTTAAGGTCCCGTCCAACCAAAAATTCTGTGATTCTATAAGTACTCAAGAACTGGAATTTCCAACTGGTAGTTCCCTGCATTTTGTGGATCCAACGTGAGTGACCCCCACCTTCTATCCAGGTGCCTTAGGTCAAACAGAAAGTCTCCAGAAATACAAGTGTTCCACAGCTGGAGGCCAGGGAAAGAATAGTCAGATTTCAGGAGGGCTCCTGCTTCTGTTCTGTGTAAATGGGTAATAATCCTTGTCTTTTATTTTTGGATAACTGGAAGTAGCTTAGCTTCATCCTCTGGTGGACCAGAGGATCGTCATTGAATGGGTTAATGGTTGGACTCAACCATCTTGAAGGGCTTTTCCAACCTTAATGATTTCATGGTAAAATGAACAGAAGGAACTCTTGCTAAGCCCTCTGCAGGAGAATTGAGCCAGCTGCCTGAGTAGAATAACTTGTGAGCCCCTGTTTGCGTGTTTGTGGTTTATGTCCTTCCAAGGCCCTCTTGGTTGGGTGGTCTCATTGAGCACTTGTGTGATTGCTTTGGAGGCATTGGAAGTAAGACACAAACCTTGTTGGTTAAATTACACAGGAACTGTTCTGTTCACATCTGGAAAATCTGAATGTAGCAGTGTTCCTGTACCTTTATATCCTGGGATATGGGGGTAGTTCCAGGTGTGTTTATTCTAATCTTGCTTGAGAACTGCACCCCAAGAGTGCCCGATACCATCTCCTGATGCAGCAGTTGTGCAGACGAGACATCCTGCAACCTTTCCCTATATCATGCTGATTTCTTGGGAAGTGAGGGCAAGCTCAACCACCACGCTGGTACCTCTGGACTGTCCTTGTGGGGCAGGACCTCCTGGATCCTTGCAGCTCCTGCCGGTCTCCTTTGGTCTTGTTCCTGAGCACAGAACAACCATTTGGCCTGCAAGGGTTGAGAAGCATCTATGTTTTGTCCCCTTTAGACTGAGTTATCAGCTTTTAAAAAATATTTAATTGTGCTTTGTCTCTTCATTTTGGTCATCTCTGTAGAACAGCAGTTTGAATTAGCAAATGTATCTGAGGTCAGTTTGGACTTCAGTGATCCTTATGGGTCTCTTCCAACTTAGGTTATTCAAAATAATCTAGATCAACTTGAAAAGAGGTAAAAGAAAGGAGAATTTTGTTTAAGTGCTACAAAATTTGCTTCTCTTGGCACCTTACATTGGCCCCTTTGTATTTTTTGTCTGGCTTTTCTGTAGTACTTGATAAATGTATGAAGTGAGGAAAAACCAAACCTAGACTTCACAGAAGCTTTAAAGGTGGGATGTGGTTTCCTCACAGTGTCCACCTGACGTGCTGGTGTAGTTGGAATGACTTTGGTTACTGCATGTGATGTCAGTCCTGATAACTCCAGTGGAATTACAGACTGGCTTGGGTTGGAAGAGACCTTAAAGCTCAGGTGGATCCACCCACAATTTGGTTACTGCATGTGATGTCAGTCCTGATAACTCCAGTGGAATTACGGAATTACAGACTGGCTTGGGTTGGATGAGACCTTAAAGCTCAGCTGGATCCACCCACAGCTATGGGCAGGGATGCTTTCCACTAGACAGGTTGCTCCAAGCCCCATCCAACCTGGCCTGAGACGCTTCCAAGAAAGGGCCAAGTAGCAACAGTGGATGGACAGCACTGACATTTCTTCATGACATCAGGGCTTTTTATCAGAAGGTTGTTAAGAAAATGATAAAGTTTTGAAACAGCTGTTTGAAACAGCTTGTTTGAAACAGCTGTTAAATTCCTCGAGGCCAGGAAAGTTCTGGACGTTGTACCTTTCTCACCTGGTTTTTTAACATAATTATTTTTATTTAATGCATCTTTTCTTTTCCCCAGGTAAGAAACCAAAAGCAACCTGCCTTTATTGAATTCTCAAGAACACAGCTGACCCTTTGGTACATTATCAAGATGCATTAGGAAACTGGATCTGGTGCCAAAAGAACTCCATGAATTTCCATGACTCTCTTGAACTCCAACACGGATACTTTTGGATATAAATTTCTGTTCTAAGGAGAAGAGTGTGTACTCCAACTCCTTTCTGCCAGCTTGCTGGCAGAGGTGTTTCACTAAGATCATGGACCATCCTAATAGGGATAAGGATGAAAGGCAGCGGACGACAAAAGGAATGCCGGGAAGGAGCGGGCACGGTTCTCGGCCAAGCTCATCGGCGTCCTCCGGCGTCCTTATGGTGGGACCCAACTTCAGAGTGGGCAAGAAGATTGGGTGTGGGAACTTTGGAGAACTCAGACTAGGTAAGAAGCAAGCATTTTAGTGGCCTGCATTATGCAAATTAGCATTTCACCACTGGAATATAAATACATAAAAACCTACCCTGGCTCGGGAAATGCGTGTGCTGTCTTGTTTCCCAAGTGTTGAGCTGCCTTATCCGAAGCTTCTGACTCAGAAGATGTAACTCTTAGCATGATTTTGGTTTGCATAAAGTCAAAGGGAATACATTGGAGAGGCCAAAGATGCAAATTTTGAACAATCCCAACAAATGATGACTGTTCACAGCGCTGAATGTCTTGCCTAAGGTGAAAAAAGAATCTTAACTGTGAATTGCTAAATCTTGCTCTCAATTTTTTGTTTGTAAGCTAGAACACCCATTTAAGGGATGGGTAAGACTCTTTCCCAGCACTGAGACTCAATTCCATGTCCTTCTCTAACCTCAGTGCCCTAATTTCAGCCCCGTCACTCTCTCCCTGCTCTGTCTGTGTGCTGGGCTGGCTGGCGAGGAGCAGGATGTGCCGAGTGGCCATCTGGCTCCCTCAGCCAGCCTGACGTTTGCTCATGGTCTGTTGGTTTCCTGACCACGTCTTGCAGCTGGTTGCCCAAAACAGATGGTTCCACTGATGCATTGTTTGTTTAGGACTGCTTGAGAGACCAAAGCAGAGCAGTGCACTGGGCTCTTAAGTCATCCTAAAAAAACAATGGTTGTGTTTTAAATGAGATGGGGAAAGCAGCTGGTGTTGCCTCACATAACTCAAGGGTCATAACACTACTGATAGTGTCTTTGTAGATTCCTGCTCAAAATCTGTCCTCTTAAATGAATCTGTGTGATTTCCCACTCCGAGGTTGGGTTATTGCACCAATACATGTGCTGCTGTTCCATGGTGTGAAGATCAGCCAGCTCACTTCTGGTGTGTCTCAGTAAGTGGGTATTTTGGTTTCAGCATTGCATCAGAGTAGCTTTATTGATTCATCTGAGCAGAGATAACACTCCTAAGGTGGAGAGAAACTAAGGGCAAGGGTGGAAACTCCCACCTTCCTGCACATGAGTATAATTGGCAGCTAAAGATAAATTTGGATCCTTACAGTGACATAACATGAATTGCTCTGTTGGATTCTCAAAGCTCCCCCCCCACCCCCAGCAAATGTCAGGATCTCAGGATCCCCACGGAGATGTTGAATTGCTTTGTAATCCAAGCTCTGCTCTGAGGTTTAGCAGCTCTAGTGGATCCCTCAGGATATATGGCTCTTGAGTTTATTCAGCTGGTGCCCAAGTCACCAAATCACAGAATGGTTTGGGTTGAAAGGCACCTGAAAGCTCATCCCACTGCACCTCTGCCATGGGCAGGGACACCTCCCACTATCCCAGGGTGCTCCAAGCCCCGACCAGCCTGGCCTTGGACACTTCCAGGGATCCAGGGGCAGCCACAGCTGCTCTGGGCACCCTGTGCAGGGCCTGCCCACCCTCACAGGGAGGAATTTCTTCCCAATATCCCATCTAACCCTGGGTTCTAGCAGTGGGATGACATTGCCCCTGCCTGTCATGTCCCTCCATCCCTTGTCCCAAATCCCTCTCCAGCTCTCCTGGAGCCCCTTTAGGCACTGGAAAGAGGCCCCAAAATCTTCCTGGAGCCTTCTCCCCTCCAGGTGAGCACCCCCAGCTCTCCCAGCCTGGCTCCAGAGCAGAGGGGCTCCACCCTCAGAGCCTCTCCGTGGCCTCCTCTGGGCTCTCTCCAGCAGCTCCACGTCCTGCTGCTGTTGGACCCTGGGCTGGAGGCAGCTCTGCAGGTGGGGTCTCACCTGAGTGAGGCCAAGGGGCAGAATCCCCCCTCCTCTGCTGCCCATACTGTAGGGAGGCAGCTCCTGTTTCCAGGATTCTTTTTCACATTTCTCAAAATTTTAGTGGTATTGGGTTTTGTGACTCATGTAAAGTTTCATGGCATGGACTTTATAGAAAAGATTTCACTTCTGAAGAAGTCAATTTACAGAGAAATTCAGTTTTAAATTGCAACACCTGCTAATTGAGTGGGTTTTTTTTTAATAATACATATGTTGTTAATGCTAGTTTACTAAAAATTTAGACAATGAGCCACACGTGCTGATAACAACAATTTGTTGTAAGGTTCTTAGAGAATCTGTATTACTCATTTTTTTTAATTTCTCTTGCTTTTTGCCAGTCACTATCACTTTAAGAGCTCCTGTTTGCTCAAATAGCAGCTATTTCTCTTGCACAGCCCATGGTAATTATCGCTGGGGGGAAGGAGAGGCAGCAGCTGAAATCCGAGCACACAAGTCTCTGATAACAGTTTTGTCCTGTGAAGATGAATGATGTGCCCTCTGCTTTTTGTCTATTTTTTACATGGCTTCAGAGCAGTTGAGCACCAATATCACAGGCAGAACAAAGTCATACACTGATAAGCAAAGGGAAAATAGGCTTTTCCAATTCCCTGAAGAATTTCTCTTTTTTGAGGTGTTGTGTTTCAGTTTAAGCTGCTCTTGTTTGATTCTTCAGGGGGGAGATAGCACTTACCTAATGAAGCTGTTTGCTGTATATATCCAGCTCACTGCTCAGGGTTGATCTTTCTTCCTGAAAATACAGATCACCCAAGGACATGACTTTTTTGGAGCATGTTGGAGCAGCACAGTTGGATTCCAGCCCTCAAGGAGCTGAGATGGGGATCTGAACATGAAACTTAGCATTTGATAGGACAGGGGAAATGGCCACAAGTTGTGCCAGGGGAGGGTAAGGCTGGATATTAGGAAAAAAATTCCTCACTGAAAGGGTGGATGAGCATTGGAGCAGGCTCCTCAGGGAAGAGTTGAAGTCACCATCCCTGGAAGTGTTCAGAAAAGGAGGAGATGTGGTTTAGTGGGAATGGTGGGACTTGTTGGAATGTTGGCCTTCATGATCTTGGACGTTCTTTTACAAAATTAATGATTGTGTGATCTGGCCCAGAGTAATACACTGACGTGGGGTAAAGCAGGGGCTGTTTCTGCAGACAGGCTGCAGAGCAGAGGGTCTACAAGAGCTTCCAAAGTGGCTCAGTGTACTAGCAGGAATATAGAGCCAGTCCCCAGGTCAGACCCTGCATGGATTTGGGGGTTCACAGGGATTTGACCCATTAATGTCTGGAGTGCTGCGGTCAGCCATGACATCCAAGATTTGGGTAAATCCCCAAAATCTCTCTGCTGGCTTGCTCCAGACAGAGCTGTCCCCCTTGGTTTTGCTGTCCCTCTGTCCAAGCTGCAGTGGTGTACTCTCCCTCCTCCTCCCAGGCAGGGCAGGTTGCACGGAGGAGCAAAGGCTCACAGGAGACAGTGACCTCTCCACTGAAACAACCCTGAGCAGGAGCTGCACCTTCACTTAACCACAGGTCTGTAGCACACTGAGAGGATGTAACTGTGCTGGCAAAAGCCTTTCAAGTTGAGGCAATGCTTTTTATGGAGCAGTAAGTCCATGGCTCAGTTTTGGGTAGTTCCACTGACAATTAGGTGATACTCCAAAGGAGAAGGGATGCATTACATCACCAGCATTCACGTGGGAAACTTCCCCAAGAGGATTTCTCAAGGCCCTGGCAGTGAGATGTGGTGAATGTACAGAGGATTGGAGACAGCAGACAAGCCCAAAAAGATCCATCTCCAAAGTGATGCATCTGCACAGGGACCAGATCACTGGGTACTTGGGACGTGCTTGATTTGCTGTGCCTTCTACAGCAGGTCTGAAACTAACAGCTCCTGGTGTAAGTGCTTCCCAGGACCTGCTCCTGCCCTGCCCTCCACATCTAACATCATTCCAGTCAAATCATGTCTTGTTATTTTGGAATTACAGCCCCAGTATCAGACGCTATGATCATGTTTAACTATTTATTTTGCTGGTTTACTTGTTTTGAAGCAGAGTTCCTGACTTCAAACTGCAGCCTGGGAGGCAGCTGAGCGATTCTCACTTTTGGGAGCACCTTCCCAGTTTCAATGGAACTGCTCTGACCTGGCAACCTACAAAGAAGCAGCTTTTCTGCTGGTTTGGGGCCTCCTGCTCTTCTAGCATTTTTCCCAGTTTCAAGCAGGGTGAAAAAATGTGTTAACTGCCATTTTTAAATGGTACCAGAAATCATTTTTAAATTATACACTGTTTTGAAAATGCCAGATAATGTTTCAATTAGAGCAAAAATATCTGGGCTCCCGTCTGCAGCTCTGGGACCCCCAACAGCAGCAGGACTGGAGCTGCTGGAGAGAGTCCAGAGAGGCCATGGAGAGGCTCTGAGGGTGGAGCCCCTCTGCTCTGGGGCCAGGCTGGGAGAGCTGGGGGTGCTCACCTGGAGAGGAGAAGGCTCCAGGGAGATTTTGGGGCCCCTTCCAGTGCCTGAAGGGGCTCCAGGAGAGCTGGAGAGGGACTGGGGACAAGGGCCTGGAGTGCCACAGCAAGGGGGAATGGCTTCCCACTGCCAGAATGGAATATTGGGAAGAAATACTTTCCTGTGATGGTGGGCAGGCCCTGGCACAGGCTGTCCAGAGCAGCTGTGGCTGCCCCTGGATCCCTGGAAGTGCCCAAGGCCAGGCTGGACAGGGCTTGGAGCACCTTGGGCTAGTGGGAGGTGTCCCTGCCCATGGCAGGGGTGGAATGGGATGGGCTTTAGGGTCCTTCCAACCCAAACCAATCTGGGATTTCCATCCAAAGAAGGGAAGAGGCAGTTTCAGGGAGCAAGATAAAGCTGGAGCTGCCAGTGGGGTTTATTTGCTGGTAGCTAATGCAGAGCAGATAATCCAAGTCTATTTAGATTTCCTTCCCTTAATGTCCTCACATCTTCTCCCCCGCAGCTGCTGGCTGGAGCCCTGGTCTGTCTCACAGGGTGGAGGGGTTTATCTGCCACCTGCTTTCCATGGATTTGGCCTGTGAGCTCTTTCAATGCTTCCTGCAAAATCTCCTTTCTACCCTTAGTTCCAGTCTGGGCATAGCATTATGTCTTTTTCTAAAAGATGGAGAGAAATACATGGAAACCCCCACTGTGTGTATGGGGTTAATGCTGGAGCTCAACTTTCAGCTCTGCTGGCAGAAGACACCTCTTCTGAGGATATTTAACCTCACATTTAAATCCCTGTCCTGTGCATCACCTAAACAGGTTGGAGCTATGATGTCTTCTGTTACTGAGGGATGTTAAATAAATCTTGGTGCAGACTGGGCCTGGAAACACCCAGTCACACATTTAGAGGCCAGAAGTACCCTGAGTGATACAACAGGGAAAGCACCAAAAGAAGTTAAATGCAGAAAACATGAAGCTGTTATAAAGTAAAGTGAATTTCCTCTGATATTTCAGGATTTAAAGATTACTGTATATCTTCTCCCATGTTCATAATGTCTTTATTTTTATTGAGTCTCCCTGTGCTGTTGTATCCTGTGCTGAGGAGGACATGGAAGGTTTTTTAATGCTTTCATGTGGATATGGAAGAGCTGCTCCAGCTCCTGCCTGCTCTGAATGATGTCACTCCATGTCCTGGGCTTTCTCAAGAGCTGGACTGTCCCAGCATCAATATCCATTACAGGAATTAGAAAATAAATGAGTAAGAGAGCTGAGCAAAGCTAATGCTACAAATAAGCCCTGATAACTTCCATCCTGGATTGCTCCTGAATTTCAGAGTTGCTCAGTCAAAGCATGACTTGTGCAGTGACACTGATGACAAAGCTTTCCCTAAATAAATCCACAGGGAGCTTTTGTGGTGGGGGCTTCCTTCCTCCAAGGGGACAGTGGGATGGGGACAGAGGGGGTCCAGGGACTGCCCAAGCATCCTTCCCCGTGGTGTCTCTTCCAGGAGAGGCTGCTGTCAGGCATGAGCCAGGTGGAGGGGAGTGATTGCTCAAATTCCCTGGCAGGGGAAGAGAGGACGTTGAGTGACACGATAAGTGGCAGTGTCAGAACACAGGGAGAGATGCTCCGTGACACAGAGCTGTGCATCCCTGCCTCACGTCACTGAGGAGGCCCAGGGCTTGCTTCAAACACCAGACAGGCTCCTGGAGGAAAATTGCCCTCCGGCTGTAGCGCACGTGGGTCCCAGCTCTGGTCCAGCGCACCTGGATTTGAGCTCAGCTTGTTGTGCTCATCTCACACTCCTGCCCTTCCTGCTTCCCAAAGCATGATCAGCCTTGGGAAATTCCCTCCACATCCCAGGATGAAATTGTTGAGTGTCCAGCAGATCCAAGACATTTCCAAAAGCAATGACATTCTGACTCTTCATTTTTTGTCCCCCAGACTTTTTTGGCATCATGGATAATAAAGCCTGCTGTGTCTGGGATACCACCTTTAACACGTGCATGGAGCAAAAGTGCTGCCATAAAATACAATTGCCTTGTGCTGAGTGGAAGGTGTTTTTTGCCTTCCCTGCTAAACTGCTGCAAACTGTTCATTATTTTGATTATTTTCAGGCTTATGCTTTGTTAAAGGCAGGAACTTCAGGGGGAATTGGGCAAACAGCTCTTTGCATCAGTGTCATTATTTCTCATTGTGCCTCAAGCTGCAAGTGTTGAATGTGGAACTAAAAGATTTTTTTTCTTCTCCCTTTGCAGGTAAAAATCTCTACACCAATGAATATGTAGCGATCAAACTGGTAAGTAATAGCTTCAGGTGTCTTTAAATGACTTATACTTCATCTTCAAAATTCAGACTAAAAGCAAGTTTTTCAGTCTGGGCTCAGTGCTGCTCCCACCCTCAGCTGGGAATGACTTGTTAAAACTAAGCAAAGTTCTTAAAAGCACTAAAAGCAAGGAAAAAAAACCATCCTTCCGCCTTTGGAAGGTTTTTGGTAGCTAAAGGATCTGTAGCTGTCTTAGAGCAGTGAGAGCCTTGTTCCTCTGCCCAGGTCCCAGTGAAGGGCTCTGGTAGTGGGTTTGCACCTCCTGCTGCTCCATGGTTTAAACCTTTCCATTCAGGACTCCATGAATTCTCCAGCTGTCAGAATGTTTGGTTAGGAGCATGGCACTGTGCAGCCTGGTGGTCCATGTTTTTGGAGCCAAGAGGCAGGAAAGAGGGTGTTCCTTTGGTTAAAATTCCCTGGGGGAGCAGAGTACAGTTGGGTCTGGTGTGATACTGAGAGACTGCAGACGCAACAGGCAAAACAAGATCCAGCCTGGTGAAGGTCACTCCTTCCTCTGGCTGCCTTGGGTTGCAGAGAAGGTACAGTCTCATCATCTGTGGAATCTGGGAGATGGGGAACTCCCTAACTTGCAGCTCTTCCACATTTATAAACTCACAGCCCAGTAGTTTGTGTTCAGACCTTAACTTTTCCTATCTGCAAACTCAGCTTTCATCAGTGCCTTGAGGTTTCGGATTCCATGTCTTCACCTGATGTGCTGAGTTCTCATGTGAACACTCTGTAAACGTCACCCAAGCCCTAAAATCTGAAGTTAAAGTTGTGGTGCTATATTGACACTGCAGCAAACCCCCCAGTTTGCCCAGTTGATGCTATCTGGCAAAATGACAGGAACCACTCTGGTGACAGAAAATCAGGATGGATTTGGTGTATTAATTGTGATCACATTTGAGTGCCTCACATTCCATATCTCTGGCATTCCCCTTATGATGTCTAGTAGATGAAAAATAATTACAGCTTTGCAGGAGGGACTTGATTTCACACCTGTTGGCAAATGTCAGAAGATGTTCCCTAAAGTAAATAAATAAATGCCTGCACAGGAATTCAGGAGCATAGTATCCCAGACTGGTTTGAGTATCCTGGAAGGGATCTTAAAGTTCATCTCATTCCACCCCTTGCCATCCATGGTGGAACACCAAGGACACCTCCCACTATCCCGGGTTGCTCCAAGCCCCATCCAACCTGGCCTTGGATTCTTCCAGAGATGGGGCAGCCATCTCTGGGCAACCTGTGCCAGGACCTCACCACCCTCACAGAGAAGAATTTCTTCCCAGCATTCCATCTAACCCTGCCCTCTGGAGTGGGAAGCCATTCCCTGTGTCCTCTCCAGGTGAGCACCCCCAGCTCTCCCAGCCTGGCTCCATAGGAGATGCCCTTGATATGGATGCACATCAGAAAGCAGAATTGTTGCTTTTAGACCACAGAACATGTGCTGTGTACACAGACAAGGTGTTTTATTGAGGCAATAATGCTTCTAGTTTGCTTCCACAGGTAATCTCACAGAGCTGTTGCATTGGAAACCATAAGTTAAAACACAGCTGTACTAGTCCAAAGGGTGCTTTTTTCTCTCAGAAAAGTGGCTGCAGTGACACCTCTCAGTAACCTGAAGCTTTTCCATATGGCAGGACTCAATGGCATTGCCTCATGGCTGCCTCAGTCTGACCTGTTTTTCTGGTCACATTCTTTCTTCATTTTTCTTACTATTTTTCCCCCCAAATAACTGAGTGTTAAAGCAGTTACTCTGCGCCACTCTCCAGTTTCATTTGCCCTGTTGTGATCCAGGCTTATAAATCTCAGGTCCTTCTTGTGTGAGGGGCTGGAATTGCCATTGGATGGCCATCCAGGTGTTCACATACATACTCTGTTCTGGAGAAGTTTAAGGAGGAAGCAGTAGGAGAAATGGGCTTTTCTTGATCTCCTAATCTTAGACAAAATTCCACAGGAATAAGAATGACTCAGCCTCCTCAGCAGCAAATACATTTATCTTACATGTGGACTTAACTGCTATTTACTTTATCCTTCAAATAATTTGTGGATTAGTGGTGGAGTAGCTGTAAGATGTGCTTATAGGCAACATTTTCTTTTATCTTCATTGTTGGACTGACTCAAAGCACTGCTCCAAGTCCTTCAAGCTGTGAGATCCTCTTCCACCACTGCAGCCCTGCTGTCTCAGCTATTCCTGCCTCCTATCACAGCATTAGAGCTGGGAAAGGAGGGAATTGTGTGATGGATACCAAGAGCCCATCAGAAAGTGCTGTGAAATTCCAAACTAATGCCTCATGGTTTCTTTTTGGGACTCAGCCTACACCTTGGAAAATTGCTGGCAGTGGAGACTGGTCCTTGTGTTGATGGGTGTGGTGTCACCATGTAGCTTCTGGTCCTGCTCCTCAGCTGACTTACTTGGTCAGGGGCATCTGGTTTATTCTTCTGAGGGTTTTCAAAGCTGCACTGCCCACAAGAGGAATTTCTTCCCTGGGAGCAGCCAGCCTGGTGCCATCCAGCTGCAGTCAGAGCACAAGTACCAGGCCATCCCCTCGCAGCAATGATGACGCCGTTGGTTCGAGCTGTGGATTTTCTCTGTTAGGCAGTAGCAATTCAGTTATTTTTACTACAAACACAAAATCTGCCATCATCCCTAAGCCCTTGGCCTACAGGACAACCATCTGTGCTGGTATGATCTTCTCAGAAGCTGCCGTGACTCTGGCAAGTGTCCAGAGCTCTGGCTCCAGCAGCTCCTGATGCACAAGCGGCTCAGGGCTGCCTCCCCTGATTTTGTCATGAGCAGCGTCATGTCCTGCTGCATCAATCCTTCCCCTTTACATGTCTGGATAAATAAACTATTCCCTGAACATGCTGAGTTCCTGTTGCCCTGAATCCCTGTGCTCTGCAGGTGTCTGTAGACCCTCCCTCAAGCCACCAACAATTATCTTAATTTAAGTGTGATTTATATAACAAACTTGTTTGTGTGTTGCTTTGTGCTTGCTTTAGTTGTAGGTTCAGTTTTTCCTCCAGAATATTTTTTCACATTTTGCTGAGTATTTGGTCATTTTTATCTTCTGGAGCTTTAAAACATCAGGAATTTGCTGACCTTGGAGGCCTTTTCCTATCTCACTGATTCTGATTAAGCTGAGAAGTAACCAGGAACATTCGTTTCCCTTGCTGGGAAATGGATGGGATGACTTGAGCTGATGAGGAACAGCTTGGCTACAAGTCAAATTGCCTGAATTCCTGTACACAATTCTTTCTGCACACTTAGAAAGAAGCCTTGACTGTGGAGTTCACACCCACTGTGGACATCAGTCTTACAGGGCAGACTAGAGGTCAACAAAAATTGAGGCCAGTATTAACTCCTATCTCCAGGCTGCCTGGGCAGTTGGGAAACCCACATCCATGCCTATCCCAAGTGCACAGTTTTATTGCAAATGTAATTACTCCAGTCTCTTAATCCTCTCCATATTAACTTTATATTTTTAGAACCTCTGTAATCTTGCACGTTAATGCCTTGATGGATTGTAGGCATTAAGTCTTGGATGTAAAATGCAGATGAGTAACAGTTAATGAATGGGATGGTTTGGGTGCATTGCAGACTTGCCTTTTTTTTTTTGTGTGTGTTTTGTGGATAAAAATAGAATATTATTGAGTGTTTCAAGATGTTTGACTGACAGCTGCCACAAGGAGGGGGAGAGTTCTTCCTTTTTCCCAGCTGTCTGGCTGCACTGTGGTGCTTGCTGTGAGCAACTGTGGTCTGATCTAAAACACACTTGTGTGACTCAACATTTTTCAGAAATACAGGCTGGAGAGCAGCAAAAGCACTGTGGGCAATCACAGTGCCCACAGAGTGAACTGGGGCTTGAGTTTTTGCAACCTTGACTTCCCTCTGCCAGTGTCCAGGGTTGTTCTTCAAGGACCAGGAGCTCTATGGAATGATCCTTGAATTTCACTGCAATGAATGAGCTTTGTATTTAAATGAGGACGTTATTTCCCCTCCAGAGAGCAAATCTTACTGCTTTTTGTTCTTTTCTTATTTAAATGACATTTAATGGTGAAGTCTGTTGTTAGAATTTCAGTTTGGGGTGTTTTAATTATGCACAAATCTTCAAGTATAGGACAGAACTTCTTCCACTCAAACTGATTTTAACCAATTTATTTATTACTGTTCTAGGAACCAATTAAATCCCGGGCACCACAGCTTCATTTAGAATACAGATTTTATAAACAACTTGGAAGTGCAGGTGAGTAAACCTACCTTAAGCTTACCAAAAGTTTTATTAAATTTCTTTAATAAAGGGATTTCCTTATTAAATCAAACACCACCATAGTATTTGTTGTATAACTCTGACTTGAACTTAGGGATCTGGGCCAATTCCTTTTAGCCTCACACAAGTTTTGGAAGCGATTTGGTGAAAATTGGGTCATAATGATGATATTGGGTAATTGTGTGGACCTAAAATGTTGAGCTTATGAGGATTTGCTGATATGGAAATGCTCCTGTAAGTGTGCTTGTAAAAAACAGGAATTGTCAATGGATGGAAAGTTATTTTTGTATAGAACAACACCTCTTATGTAGGTAATCTAAAGTCTAAACCTAGGAAATTGTTTTCATTTTTACTTGTTAAATCATAAAAGCATCCACAAGCCCCACAGCTCCTCTGTGCAATCAGGATCTACAGCAAACAGGAGAAAATAGAGCAGGATCAGCCAAAGGTAGAATTTTTTATACATTTTTTTCTGGCAGTCTCTGATGTCCCTGATGCAGAGCTTGAGTTGTGTCTAACAGTTTTTGGATTTTTCTTCCCTGAATTTATGGTTGTTTTTTAAGCTTGAAGAGCCTTTTAGCATGTGCTGTTTCCCATGCCAAGGATTTCCACAGCCTCGTGCAGGGTGTTGCACTGCTCAGGGAAGTCTCTGAGAAGCAACAACCTTCTCTTCTCCTTCTGTGCATTGATCCTGTATTGACTTCAGGTTTTGACAAGTTTCTTACATTACTGTAGTTTTTTTATACTTCTGATTTTATTTTTCCTGTTTTCACTGAATGGACCCAGCTTCCACCTGCAGAGGATGTCTGATGGACATCCAGAAATACTTTGGTAATAATATATTACCAAGATACTAAGTTGAACTTCTGCTGGAGTTCTGTTGGTGCTTGTGATTTCTGGGATACCCCAGCCTACATGTCTTGTGACACATGAATGAATCCCAGTCTGCTTTTTCTACACCTCTTGGCTCCCTTCCACTCTTTTAAAGATTCTGAAATTATAAAACTGATCAAAATTTGAAGGAGTGGCTTTATTTTGGTCAGATGAAGTATTTTTTAGGTTTTCCCCTGTTCCTAAAGAATTTAAGCTTTCCATCCTGTAATATTTACCCGCTCAGAGCATTCATGGAATGGTTTGGGTTGGAAGGGACCTTAAAGCCCATCTCATTTCACCCCCTGCCATGGGCAGGGACACCTCCCACCATCCCAGTTTGCTCCAAGCCTCATCCAATCTGGCCTTGGGATGAGGCCTTCCAGGGATGGGGCAGCCACAGCTGCTCTGGGCAGCCTGTGCCAGGGCCTCACCACCCTCACAGGGAGGAATTCCTTCCTAGTCTTGGATCTGCAGTCTTGGAGCATTTGTCAAGGGACTCTTGGGAAGGCTCCTGAACAACCTGACTGTTTCCTCTCTGTGTGGTCCCACGGGTGTTGCACACCCAGCTCTCATGAGCTGTTGGATGCCTTTAGCTCTTGTGCTGCAGTTTTGCTAAAACAATTGGAAATTGGCCAAGACTTGACTTCAAGGAGGATGTGAACTGCAATTCTGGTCTCACCATGAAACCTGAAATCCACACAAAACAAATTTTGGTGGAGTCAAGCTGCCGGGAGCAGAGAGGCTTGACTTGGGAAGAGTGCCTGGCTGGAAAAACAGATAAATAAGTGCCAACATTGGGGTAATAGAGGAGCTTGTTCTCAGTGATGTTGCTAGTAATGGTCCTTGCTCTGGAACTGCTCAAACAGCCAGGCTTGAACTTCCAGTAGGGATGTTTGGTTCCTTGGAATTGTCCTACACCTGCCAAACGAAGACTAGAAGTATCCGAACACATGGTGTGCATGACTCAGAGAGAGCAACAGTAGCGTTGCATGTGACATTCTGCTCAATAAATTAGCCAATTAATCCTGCCAAATGACGTGTCTGGCTGCAGCTCCCACTGTTAGCTGGAGGAGGGCGAGCAGAGGGAGCTGTTGTGACACCGCGGGAGCCACCTCGTCCCCTCGGCGGCTCAGCGGGTCAACTGCGTGCGCAGCCAGATGGTCCCAGTGAGCTCTGAGATCTCAGAATTGTCATCACATGCGGCTTTGGGAGAAAAATGAGGGATGTTTTTCCAGTAAGGAGAGTTTTAATGGTGATTTCCTTCATGGATGTTCAGAATAAACATTTTTAAATGTGTTACTCTTGGGTAGCAGTCAGAGGAAAACTTAGGCTGGAAGGGACCAACCTACTTGGCCGGTGCCTGAAGGATGTATGTGGGTATCAATAACCTGCTTCACTTGACATCATCAAAAACTAGTGAAAATAGTCTTTTTTTTTTCCTTTTTCTAAGCTATTCAGTGAAGTTTTGCATTTCCCTTGGTGCAGTTGGACAAAGTAGCAAATAGCCCAGTAATTCATAAGCTAAATCCTGAGATGAGCTGAGATGTTTCCACATGAACAGAGGATGTGATAACTGCCTCTTCCTTTAGCAGTGGCTCTGTGTCTCCCTGTGCCACGTGCTCCATCAGCTTCCATGTTCCAAGACTTTCTGACAGGGCACTGAAGTTGCATCTGTTCCCTCCCAGCAGCTCCAGTTCCTCTGCCTGCCACGTGGCTCGGATGAGAACCCCTAGTCATCTTGGATTAGCAAAGGAGCAGACTGGATTTCATGTGTCTCAGACATCTTAAGATGCTTCTCACTAGATTAAGTGATGGAGCAGGGAGAAGTTTGTCAAAGGGATCTAAACTGTAGGAATGTGGCTGCTCTTGGTGCTTTTCAGAGCTGCTCAATACTGGTGGATGGATCCAGTGGATTCAGAGAAAGTCCTGAGTCAGGAGTACCCAACTAACAGATGTCTCTGATGTGCTGCTTTGGATATTTGATGTTGTCTCTAATGTTTTAGTGCCTTCTTGTTTTAGGGAAGATAAGAGCTCCCCTGTAATTCCCTTCCTCTAACTGGAGGAATGTTTGCGCATAGAAACGGATTTTCGTGACTCTTCCTTGAACATTTCTCCCCGCAGAAGTCGAGCAAGGCCCTGCTGCACAGTGACCATCTGCTAGCTTCTTCTTTCTCACCGTGGAATTAAATATCTAATAACCTAAAATAGTGCTGAGCGCTTTACCTTCATGTGAGCAGCAAAACAAACCAGCAAAGCTCGGGCATGGAGTCAGAGACCTGATGGTCAATCCATAGGGTGTCTCAGGAAAGGACACCTTTCCTTTAGGAAATGTACTTCATTTAGGTTTTAAGTAGTCTGGGATATGATCCATTTGCTCACCAAGGTAATTGAAGTAGTTTTAATAATCTCTGTGCAAACTAGTTGCGTTGCTCTCATCAGTGCTCTAATGCCAGTGTTGTACTGAACTGTTTCCTGATTGGTTTTTGTCCTAAAAGCCACATTGCTCCAGCATCCTGACTGGAGTCAGGATCATTCAAGTCTCCAACACGTTTCTGGTACTGGATAAATCATTTAAGCATGCCATTTGTCCTCTGTACTTTGAAGTTTGTGAAATAAACTGAGTTATTTGTCCATGGTCAAACAGACCCAGCTCCCAGAATGGTTCAACTTCCTGGGCAGTTACCAAAGGACAAAGCTTTGGCTTTGCTTGAACTGCCCCCTGCACAGCCAGCAGCATCCCAGGACCCTCCTGCTTTGGTTTGGGATGAGTAAAATCAACTGCTTTTTCCATGGCTAGCAGGAGTCCTGCAGCAGCTGGGTCCTGCTGGTGGCACACCAGGGTCTCAGGGATTCCATTGGCTGTGTCCTGTGGGCTCTGTTTGCCTGTGGATAACAAGAATGGTCTTTCTGAGTCTGATTCCAGATTAGAAGAATCTAATCTTCTTTTTAGGAGCTGCAAGAAGAAGTCTAGAGGAGGGCACAGAAATGTTTCAGGGGCTGGAGCCAGGCTGGGAGACCTGGGAGTGCTCACCTGGACAAGAGAAGGCTCCAGGGAAACCTCTGAACCCCTGCCAGGGCCTGAAGGGGCTCCAGGAGAGCTGGAGAGGGACTGGGGACAAGGGCTTGGAGGGACAGGACAAGGGGAAATGGTTTCCCATTGCCAGAGGGCAGGGATAGATGGGATATTGGGAAGGAATTCTGGGCAGTGAGGTGGTGAGGCCCTGACACAGGTTGTCCCATCCCTGGAAGTGCAAAGCCAGGTTGGATGTGGCTTGGAACAACTTGGTGTAGTGAAAGGTGTCCCTGCCCATGAGGGGGTAAAATGAGATGGACTTTAAGGTCCCTTCCAACCCTAACTATTCTGGGATTTGTTACCACATTTCAAAGCACCTCTGGCATCTCTCCCTGTTAAGGCCATGTGGAATGCGGTTAGGGCTCTGAGGACTTGCAGGGGCCTGGATTCTGACCACTTTAGTTTTGGAGAAATCCAGCAAAATTTGCAAATTTCTAGCTTGGGTGGCCAGGGTGGGCCAGGGCGAGTGGCTGCAAACAGAGGCTATTTTCCAGGGAAAAAGAAGTCCTTTGCCTGTAAGCATCACCTTTGGAAGGTAAAATGGAGCACTGCATGCTTCTGGGTTTCTTTTGGCTGCTTCCACATAGTGACAGCTTCTGCCTGTGCACATCGTGTGCAGGAGTCATGCATTTTTGATTCAGTAGTAGTTTATTTTTGTATCAGCTGGCAGATGAGTCACACCTTCCCCCAGCCCTGAGAGTCCCACCTTGGCACATGTGATTCATTCAGACGTGTGGCAGCCGTGCGCTGGGTTCTGTGCCACGGCTCTGCAGGCAGCGGTCACTCCCAGCACGGGCAGGTAACGCTGAAAAGGGGATGTGGGACGTCACAAACCTCCACAGTGGCGTGGTGGGGAGCAGAAGAGGAGTCTGATACGCTGGAGAATCCCAGGAAACCGAGATCTCTGCTGTCCCCAGCCCACGCAGTGGATGAGTCACAGTGTAGGAGCAGAACGTTCTGAGTCAGGGAGGGCTGTGTCAGTACATATAGAATATTGACGGGTTTTCTGTGGTTTTGTTTGAATTCCTGC